CATTTTACTCGCAACGAATTGAGGGAGTATTGCAGTACTGAAGGAATATTCTTCCAGGTAGGCAAGCCAGCCAGTAGCAATGCATTAATTTTCACTTTAGGCACTTTTTCACAGTTATTTTGCTGCAGTTTCGGATAAATCTTGTTTAATACAATTTCATATTTTTAGGCTTATTCGTCTCTGGCTAGGAATCATCCCGACTTGATGAATGAAGCCAAAATTCTTGAAATTTCGGAAGCTCACAAATGTTCACCTCAGGTATGAAATGTGACGTTCTTTCTGCATAACACGGTGAGCAAAAAGCCTGCCCTTTATTTCAAGCTGCCAGTGTGTTTGTGTTTCAGCTGGTACTTTTGGTTTGGGCATTAGGCCTTGGTGTCGGTATTATACCGAAATCGGCAACTCCGGAACGAGTGATCGACAATTTCAAGGTATTTTTATGGGATAATATTTCTGGCAAACGACTACAGCCTGCAAAATTGTGCGGGGGAACTTCTTAGATTGTTTGTTTTATCGAAAGTAGCAAATCGAAGTTGCTTTGAAATTTGCATGTTACATTTGCAAAGTATTTTGCGGTTGAAATTTTTCTGAAAATTTTGTTAGGAATTGATAGCCTTATCTTGAAGAGTATTTTGATAACTTGAAGATTTTTTTTTTGTTTAGTTGCTGCTTTTTGGAGCAGTGACGGGCACTGGTGTTGGGCACGGTAAATTTTCCAATTGTTTTTGGATCAAGTTTTTAACACATTTTTGGCATTTTGTGATGCCAATTCAGTATGGGTTTTTATTAAGGTTGTTAATCTGAAACTGACGGAGCAAGAAATCAACGAAATAAGCAAACTGGATCGCAATAAGAATTATATACGGTGCGATGGTTGGAATGTGAACTGAGTCCATTGCTTCCTTTTTTTTCAGCCCATTTTAAATTTCTGTGCTTACACCATGCACTCGCCTCGTATTGATCAGTTGAGTTCAGTATTATTTTCGCGATCGAGCCTTTTGTAGCAGTTGTTCTCCTTCATTTTTCATGTTATGCATCTGACTTAGACGAAGTTGTGGTTTCCTAAAACTTAATCGTTTAGAATTTGCAAGTAATTTCCTTCTTTTTTTTTGCTCCTTTTCTGACGTAAGCTGGTGAACTGTTTTGTGGCAGGTGTTGAGATTGCGGAATATTAGCAGTTCTTTGATAACTAAAGTCAAAATT